TTCAGAAATGCTGTAGATGGTGTAATTTATGTAAGAGTTAGTTCAGTGATTTTCAGGAATGCTGTAGATGGTGTAATTTATGGCATAGGAAGTTCAGTGATTTTCAGGAATGCTGTAGATGGTGTAATTTATGTAAGAGCAAGTTCAGTGATTTTCAGGAATGCTGTAGATGGTGTAATTTATGGCATAGGAAGTTCAGTGATTTTCAGGAATGCTGTAGATGGTGTAATTTATGTAAGAGCAAGTTCAGTGATTTTCAGGAATGCTGTAGATGGTGTAATTTATGTAAGAGTTAGTTCAGTGATTTTCAGGAATGCTGTAGATGGTGTAATTTATGTAAGAGCAAGTTCAGTGATTTTCAGGAATGCTGTAGATGGTGTAATTTATGTAAGAGTTAGTTCAGTGATTTTCAGGAATGCTGTAGATGGTGTAATTTATGTAAGAGCAAGTTCAGTGATTTTCAGGAATGCTGTAGATGGTGTAATTTATGGCATAGGAAGTTCTGTAGATGGTGTAATTTATGTAAGAGTTGAGTGATTTTCAGGAATGCTGTAGATGGTGTAATTTATGTAAGAGCAAGTTCAGTGATTTTCAGGAATGCTGTAGATGGTGTAATTTATGTCATAGGAAGTTCAGTTATTTTCAGGAATGCTGTAGATGGTGTAATTTATGATTTTAAGAGCAAGTTCAGTGATTTTCAGGAATGCTGTAGATGGTGTAATTTATGTGTAATTTATGTAAGGAAGTTCAGTGATTTTCAGGAATGCTGTAGATGGTGTTCAGTGATTTTCAGGAATGTTCAGTGATTTTCAGGAATGCTGTAGATGGTGTAATTTATGGCATAGGAAGTTCAGTGATTTTCAGGAATGCTGTAGATGGTGTAATTTATGTAAGAGCAAGTTCAGTGATTTTCAGGAATGCTGTAGATGGTGTAATTTATAAGAGCAAGTTCAGTGATTTTCAGGAATGCTGTAGATGGCAGGAAGTTCAGTGATGCTGTAGATGGTGTAATTTAGGAAGTTCAGTGATTTTCAGGAATGCTGTAGATGGTGTAATTTATGTAAGAGCAAGTTCAGTGATTTTCAGGAATGCTGTAGATGGTGTAATTTATGTTCAGTGATTTTAGAATGCTGTAGATGGTGTAATTTATGTAAGAAGTTCAGTGATTTTCAGGAATGCTGTAGATGGTGTAATTTATGTAAGAGCAAGTTCAGTGATTTTCAGGAATGCTGTAGATGGTGTAATTTATGTAAGAGTTAGTTCAGTGATTTTCAGGAATGTGATTCAGTGATTTTCAGGAATGCTGTAAGATGGTGTAATTTAGTTCAGTGATTTTCAGGAATGCTGTAGATGGTGTAATTTATGTGAGTTCAGTGATTTTCAGGAATGCTGTAGATGGTGTAATTTATGTAAGAGCAAGTTCAGTGATTTTCAGGAATGCTGTAGATGGTGTAATTTATGTAAGAGTTAGTTCAGTGATTTTCAGGAATGCTGTAGATGGTGTAATTTATGTAAGAGCAAGTTCAGTGATTTTCAGGAATGCTGTAATTTCAGTGATTTTCAGGAATGCTGTAGATGGTGTAATTTATGTAAGAGCAAGTTCAGTGATTTTCAGGAATGCTGTAAATGGTGTAATTTATGTAAGAGCAAGTTCAGTGATTTTCAGGAATGCTGTAGATGGTGTAATTTATGTAAGAGCAAGTTCAGTGATTTTCAGGAATGCTGTAGATGGTGTAATTTATGGCATAGGAAGTTCAGTGATTTTCAGGAATGCTGTAAATGGTGTAATTTATGTAAGAGCAAGTTCAGTGATTTTCAGGAATGCTGTAGATGGTGTAATTTATGGCATAGGAAGTTCAGTGATTTTCAGGAATGCTGTAGATGGTGTAATTTATGGCATAGGAAGTTCAGTGATTTTCAGGAATGCTGTAGATGGTGTAATTTATGGCATAGGAAGTTCAGTGATTTTCAGGATTGTATGCAAGTGTATTAGGAAGTTCAGTGATTTTCAGGAATGCTGTAGATGGTGTAATTTATGGCATAGGAAGTTCAGTGATTTTCAGGAATGCTGTAGATGGTGTAATTTATGGCATAGGAAGTTCAGTGATTTTCAGGAATGCTGTAGATGGTGTAATTTATGTAAGAGCAAGTTCAGTGATTTTCAGGAATGCTGTAGATGGTGTAATTTATGTAAGAGCAAGTTCAGTGATTTTCAGGAATGCTGTAGTGGTGATGATTTTCAGGAATGCTGTAGATGGTGTAATTTATGGCATAGGAAGTTCAGTGATTTTCAGGAATGCTGTAGATGGTGTAATTTTTGTAAGAGCAAGTTCAGTGATTTTCAGGAATGCTGTAGATGGTGTAATTTATGGCATAGGAAGTTCAGTGATTTTCAGGAATGCTGTAGATGGTGTAATTTTTGTAAGAGCAAGTTCAGTGATTTTCAGGAATGCTGTAGATGGTGTAATTTATGTAAGAGCAAGTTCAGTGATTTTCAGGAATGCTGTAGATGGTGTAATTTATGGCATAGGAAGTTCAGTGATTTTCAGGAATGCTGTAGATGGTGTAATTTTTGTAAGAGCAAGTTCAGTGATTTTCAGGAATGCTGTAGATGGTGTAATTTTTGTAAGAGCAAGTTCAGTGATTTTCAGGAATGCTGTAGATGGTGTAATTTATGGCATAGGAAGTTCAGTGATTTTCAGGAATGCTGTAGATGGTGTAATTTTTGTAAGAGCAAGTTCAGTGATTTTCAGGAATGCTGTAGATGGTGTAATTTTTGTAAGAGCAAGTTCAGTGATTTTCAGGAATGCTGTAGATGGTGTAATTTTTGTAAGAGCAAGTTCAGTGATTTTCAGGAATGCTGTAGATGGTGTAATTTATGGCATAGGAAGTTCAGTGATTTTCAGGAATGCTGTAGATGGTGTAATTTATGGCATAGGAAGTTCAGTGATTTTAAGGAAACCAGTAGTTATTATTATTTCTTGGAGAGAAGATTTGGTAATTTTCAAAGATGCTGTACTTGGCGTGATTTCTATGAAAGAAGATTTGGTGATCTTCAGGAATGCTATTGTTGGTGTGATTTCTGTGAGAGAAGATTTTGTGATTTTCAAGAATACAATTGTTGGTGTGATTTCTATGAGAGAAGATTTTGTGATTTTCAAGAATGCTATTGTTGGTGTAATTTCTGTGAGAGAAGATTTTGTGATTTTCAAGAATACAATTGTTGGTGTGATTTCTGTGAGAGAAGATTTTGTGATTTTCAAGAATGCTATTGTTGGTGTAATTTCTGTGAGAGGAGATTTTGTGATTTTCAAGAATGCTATTGTTGGTGTGATTTCTGTGAGAGAAGATTTTGTGATTTTCAAGAATGCTATTGTTGGTGTGATTTCTGTGAGAGAAGATTTTGTGATTTTCAAGAATGCTATTGTTGGTGTAATTTCTGTGAGAGAAGATTTTGTGATTTTCAAGAATACAATTGTTGGTGTGATTTCTGTGAGAGAAGATTTGGTGATTTTCAAGAATGCTATTGTTGGTGTAATTTCTGTGAGAGAAGATTTTGTGATTTTCAAGGATGCTATTGTTGGTGTGATTTCTGTGAGAGAAGCTTGAATGATTTTGGTAAAAGCTGTAGAATTTCAGTGAGAGTTTTGGTGATTTTCAAGAAACAGTAAGCTAGTATGATTTTTGTGAGCTTCAGTCACTTTTTTTTTAAGAATGCTGAATTTTTTGGAACAGTTTCATTGAGAGTAAATTCTGTGATTTTCAGGAAACCTGCAGTTATAGTGATTTCTGTCAGGATAGACTAAGTGAGTTTTAGGAATGCTGTAATTTAGAACAATTTCTGTGTGAGTAGTTTGGTTTAAAAGTCTTATTTATTGCATGAATGTTGTAACATAAATATTGCTGATGTTAAATATCTGTTGTTTGTTAAAACATGTGTTTTGTAACATATGTAGCATCTGAAGAGGCCTGCTGTTTATAACAGGGGTGTATGACAGATAATACTGTAGTAATATACAGAGGCCTGCTGTTTATAACAGGGGTGTATGACAGATAATACTGTAGTAATATACAGAGGCCTGCTGTTTATAACGGGGGTGTATGACAGATAATACTGTAGTAATATACAGAGGCCTGCTGTTTATAACGGGGGTGTATGACAGATAATACTGTAGTAATATACAGAGGCCTGCTGTTTATAACGGGGGTGTATGACAGATAATACTGTAGTAATATACAGAGGCCTGCTGTTTATAACAGGGGTGTATGACAGATAATACTGTAGTAATATACAGAGGCCTGCTGTTTATAACGGGGGTGTATGACAGATAATACTGTAGTAATATACAGAGGCCTGCTGTTTATAACGGGGGTGTATGACAGATAATACTGTAGTAATATACAGAGGCCTGCTGTTTATAACGGGGGTGTATGACAGATAAAACTGTAGTACTATACAGAGGCCTGCTGTTTATAACGGGGGTGTATGACAGATAATACTGTAGTAATATACAGAGGCCTGCTGCTGTTTATAACGGGGTGTATGTATGACAGATAATACTGTAGTACTATACAGAGGCCTCCTGTTTGTTACGGGGGTGTATGACAGATAATACTGTAGTACTATACAGAGGCCTGCTGTTTATAACAGGGGTGTATGACAGATAATACTGTAGTACTATACAGAGGCCTGCTGTTTATAACGAAGGTGTATGACAGATAATACTGTAGTACTATACAGAGGCCTGCTGTTTATAATGAAGGTGTATGACAGATAATACTGTAGTACTATACAGAGGCCTGCTGTTTATAACGGGGGTGTATGACAGATAATACTGTAGTAATATACAGAGGCCTGCTGTTTATAACAGGGGTGTATGACAGATAATACTGATAATATTATACTGTATAACAGAGGCCTGCTGTTTATACGGGGGTGTATACATATACTGAGAGGTGTATACAGATTATACTGTAGTAATATACAGAGGCCTGCTGTTTATAACGGGGGGGTGTATGACAGATAATACTGTAGTAATATACAGAGGCCTGCTGTTTATAACGGGGGTGTAATACAGAGGCCTGCTGTTTATAACGGGGGTGTGACAGATATACTGTAGTAATATACAGAGGCCTGCTGTTTATAACGGGGGTGTATGACAGATAATACTGTAGTAATATACAGAGGCCTGCTGTTTATAACAGGGGTGTATGACAGATAATACTGTAGTAATATACAGAGGCCTGCTGTTTATAACAGGGGTGTATGACAGATAATACTGTAGTAATATACAGAGGCCTGCTGTTTATAACAGGAGTGTATGACAGATAATACTGTAGTAATATACAGAGGCCTGCTGTTTATAACGGGGGTTATATGACAGAACTTAAGGGGAAGTGGGAATACTAAATAAATCCTAACCACCCCTACTTAATATTGATGATTTCAATATTGAATAACTGTTAGGAGATGATTGTAGGCTATGTGACAATAGATATGTACTAATTTAGGTGTATTTGGTGTCAATTTCCTTCAACTGTAAGTTGTTTAGTGCTAGACTGAACAAGTGACTGGGCATTTTTACCTGATGACTGACATTGTACAACATGTTCTAGATCATGTTACCATTGTGATTTTTACAGTATATTCCAAACAATGCACAAATATGTAATTGTTACGTAGTAAGGTGACAAGCAGCTGGATTGACTTGCTTTGTCAGACCAGTAATGAGGTTAAATTATGTCTTGTTAAAAATAGATACAATTTTAACTAGATTGACGAGAGGTAGGTGGTGGTGTGACGTGTTCCCAGTATGTTGTATTTTACAATTGGAAAGCTACAGTATAAATTAGGATGCTAATTCTATTTCTTTTTAATTATCATCTTGAGTATATATACTTGGTAGACTATCTAGCTGTCGTTGACCAAGTGCAGATTATCATTGTTTCCAGAGATTGAAATTATATGTGTACATTTATACAATAAAATTCATAACACTGTTATTGGTTTTGTGTTGTAAATCATCTTGTTATGGTGCATTGAATTCTGTACTTGACATGAACAGGAAGAAAGACGACACAAGCTGAATCATCCCAATAGACTTTCCAGAGAAATACAGTATTACAAAATCTGAACCAGACCAGAAAACTGAGAGACAGGAGACAAAATCCAGACTGTTGATGTGTGATGTTCTCGTGTCTCAATAGTGTTGTATGTAACACAGCCAGACTGTTGAGGTGTGATGTTCCCGTGTCTCAATAGTGTTGTATAAAACAAAGCCAGACTGTTGATGTGTGATGTTCCCGTGTCTCAATAGTGTTGTATGTAACACAGCCAGACTTGATGTGTGATGTTCCCGTGTCTCAATAGTGTTGTATGTAACACAGCCAGACTGTTGATGTGTGATATTCCCGTGTCTCCATAGTGTTGTATATAACAAAGCCAGACTGTTGATGTGTGATGTTCCCGTGTCTCAATAGTGTTGTATGTAACACAGCCAGACTTGATGTGTGATGTTCCCGTGTCTCAATAGTGTTGTATGTAACACAGCCAGACTGTTGATGTGTGATATTCCCGTGTCTCCATAGTGTTGTATATAACAAAGCCAGACTGTTGATGTGTGATGTTCCCGTGTCTCAATAGTGTTGTATGTAACACAGCCAGACTGTTGATGTGTGATGTTCCCGTGTCTCAATAGTGTTGTATGTAACACAGCCAGACTGTTGATGTGTGATATTCCCGTGTCTCCAAAGTGTTGTATGTAACAAAGCCAGACTGTTGATGTGTGATGTTCCCGTGTCTCAATAGTGTTGTATGTAACACAGCCAGACTGTTGATGTGTGATGTTCCCGTGTCTCAGTAGTGTTGTATGTAACACAGCCAGACTGTTGATGTGTGATGTTCCCGTCTCTCAGTAGTGTTGTATGTAACACAGCCAGACTGCTGATGTGTGATGTTCCCGTGTCTCAGTAGTGTTGTATGTAACACAGCCAGACTGTTGATGTGTGATGTTCCCGTGTCTCAGTAGTGTTGTATATAACACAGCCAGACTGTTGAGGTGTGATGTTCCCGTGTCTCAATAGTGTTGTATATAACACAGCCAGACTGTTGATGTGTGATGTTCCCGTGTCTCAATAGACTAGAAGTTTACAAAATGAGTCTTAATTACAGCTGGATACACATATCAAAATAATTAAAACACAAAACACCTCACACATTTATAAATTTAATGAAAATATCACTTTACATATAGACAAAATTGTATGCATATCAATTTATATAAACGCTCAGGTGTTATAAGAGTCTACAGTATGACAGAAATGTATGTACGATATGATTCTACCCATCACATGAGAAATCAATGACCTGCATTTCCTGCATGCAGTTTTCATTATGAGGGGCTCCTGAATATCAAATGAGAACAGAAATAATAAAAATAAAAAAATCTCCATGAGAAGTGTACTTAACCAAGGTATATGGTATTTGTGTCATAATCATTAAACGCTGTGCTTTACCTGGGAAAACATCAATCAATGCTTACCTCTGGTAAGAATGGTACACAGAAACTTGTGATAAATCACTATTTCTGTAGTATGAGATTTCTATTCTGACAGTAACTCCCAGACTCATTGAATATGTTGGTCTTCTTATAGAGCTAAAGGTCCAAAGAGCTTACCTGTTATTTCATTATCAATGCTAAAAAAGAAAACTGAAATACAGAGATGATAAACGTGTGGTAGGTGTTCTTGGTGGGACCGATAATAGGTGCCTTACGTTGGATTAAAATGGACCTGGTGGAGTACAGACTTCGTAGAGTACAGACCTGGTGGAGTTCAGACTTGGTAGAGTACAGACCTGGTGGAGTTCAGACCTGGTGGAGTTCAGACTTGGTAGAGTACAGACCTAGTGGAGTACAGACCTAGTGGAGTTCAGACCTGGTGGAGTACAGACCTGGTGGAGTTTAGACCTGGTGAAGTACAGATCTGGTAGGGTACAGACCTGGTGGAGTACAGACCTGGTAGAGTAAAAACCTGGTGGAGTACTGACCTGGTGGAGTTCAGACCTGGTGGAGTACAGACCCGGTGGAGTACAGACTAGGTTAAGTACAGATCTTGTGGAGTACAGATCTGGTAGAGTACAGACCCGGTGGAGTACAGACCTGGTAGAGTATGAACTTGTGGAGTTAAGACTTGATCAATGTTAGTCCGAACCCTCTTCTCCAAAGGAAAGCCACCACTGTCCCAGGAATTCCTTTGGCTGTGGGATACTCTATGCCAAAAAATAGGTAACATCTCTGAAAGTCTCCGCTCTGTACAAGCAGATTCTATAAGGAAAATCATTGACTGGTGGCTAAAATGTCACAACAAGACTAACCTTTCTTGGTCCATTTGGTCAGGTGATCAAAAAAAGAGACTATAGAAGAACTAGAGAATTAAGTAAGCTTATGAAAGTAAATAGCCCCATCTGTTGTTGCCCTGAGAAATCGGCACCTTTGAGCTTATAAGATAATGTGCAGGTGAGCATTCAACACATGTCAGAAAACCTCAAAACTCAATGAATAAATGTACTTAATGGGATAAGAATCCTGTATATCATATTTCAAATTACATTTTTTTTAAATAAATGGGTTAACTTTTTGCATGTACTCAAATGAGTTTACACAGTTTCAGATAATGTCCTGGCTAAAAAGTGAGGGGTTTAATTAGCCCTCCTATTTCAGTGATATTAACCACAGTAGAGGTCTTACTTGTGAGTAAGAGATTATTGACAGTCAAAAAATGCAGCTAACATGATCCCCATCACAATCAAACACTCACAGGACCACAGGAATCAAATACAAAAAATATTTACAATGTAGAAAACATTCAAAATGCCAATGTTAACAAAAAACACAACCAATAATAAGCAGTTGACTTCCTATCAGCCAAAGATATTGTACCGAGGGGATACAAACTAAGTGGCTTATCTAAAGTGTGAAATCTAAGCTAAATACATTCAACAAGGCTGACAATGCCAGAGATGTCTCAACAGGACGCCAGGGCACCTGAATTACTCCCCCAGACCTCTTTACAAGTTGTGGACAGCACCCTTCCTTTACAAAAGTTGTTTCACTCTTTCCAAGGACATTTCATATAAAAAGTTTGGTTTTAATACAATTAACTGGTTAGCAAAAAATGACTTAATAAAGATTAAACTTTTTTTTTGATAAATTTTCAGCATTTTCCCTCAATCCTCAGGGATGCTAGTCCTCTTTTCTGTAATTGCCTCAAAGCTCCCACAGACCAAATATACATCAGATTTGTAAGATTACTTTGTATATGGTTGTGTAAAGGATTATCAGCCTTGTACTACTTAGTAAGTATATATGGGGAAGGCATGAATTTTTCACCAATCCTCATAACATGAGTACTGCTAATTATTTTAGAGTTTCCAACATTTTATGAACCTACTAGATCAGAAGCAGACTCTGGTCACATCTTTGTATTTATGATTAAAATATGGGATTCTCTACTGTTTTAGGGTCTAGTTATACAGCCCCCACTATCTATGAACCAAGTATTGTAGCATTTGTTCATCAATTCATGCCCAGATATTTTTACCTAGATGAGTATTCCAGCCCCTTGTCATAAGTTGGGGCACACACTCAAATCTTATTGAAATCAGTCCTATTCACTATTAATTGGCCTACCTACTTGTATCAGCTGAAGTGCTTACCAACACAGAAAAAGGATCGTAAAGATGTCCATCTACATCTCATCTCTTCTTTATCTAACAATGAACCTTTCAGACATCCAAAACAAAAGTGATTTCTGAAACTATTTGTACTTTCTGTATTGGCCTCTCCCTGTGTTTCCTGAGGTGAGAGTGTATTCTCCATATATACAATATAGGTAAACCAAAGAATACTCTAGAACAATTAGATTGCCTTAGCAGCCCTTAGTAATTTACAGTGATACTAAACATCTTGTCCTAGTCTATATGCTCACATTCGAAAGTCTAAACTTACTATAATTTATCAGAATCAGAGAAAGATCAATTCTAATTCATGTATTGGAGACAATGTACACAAGATCAGCATGGAGAAGTACACAACAGTTCAACAGCAGAACTCTTTTTTGTTTTTATAATCCATGTGGTTATACACTTAGCGGAATATCTGGCTTTATAGAAATTATCAGCATTATCTTTGCTAGTAAAGTTCAAATAATGGCTATATTTACTAATGGCTAAAAAGTTGAGAAAGCATCAGCTAATATCTTTGCTAGTAAAGTTTAAATCAATAACTATATTTTACTAGTGGCTAAACAGTTGAGAAAGCATCAGCTAATATCTTTGCTAGCAATGTGTCTAATGTGAACATGTGCAATGTTGACACCAGAGCAGAAATCAAAGCTTTCCTGACTATATTGGTAAACAGAAAAGAATGAAGCTTTTCTGATTTATGGACGTAGGGTTGAAAATGTGAGTCCACCATTACAAAAAAATTACAATATATGATTACAAAAAATTTGGCATTCCAGGAATGCAAAATCCTAAATCCAGAATTACAAACATTTTAAATCCATGTAATTTACAAACACTTATATTGTGGGTTAAAAAATGACTGATACATGATTGGGAATAAACATCAACATCAAGTACATAACAGCATTTGTTAGTTACAGGTTTGAATGTGACAGATTACCAGGTAGTTCGTACTCAGTAACCAGTGTGGATAGAAATCGTCAAAACATGGAAAAAAGTTAGCTGACAATTTTAAAATAGCTTCTTTTTATATTTAAGGTGTAAGATCTCAAACATATATGAAAATTACTTACAAAATTTGTACACGCACTCATATATTTTACACAAAAATCTGCACCAATATCCTCAGAAAATAACAGGAAATATTTGTAACTTGTGGCAAATTGAATACTGCTACCACACCAGTTGTCAGGCAAGTATATGTAACATTACCTACATTGGATTGTATGTTAAGAGGTCAAGATCCAAACTATACAAACCTCACTTAATCTAGGACTTTCTATAGGAATAATTCAGTATTTCCAACACATAAGTAACATTTCAAAACTAGCACTAGACAGACAGGAGTCAGTTGGAAATTCCATTCCTTATAACTCTAGCAAGAGATACACTGACGGTAATCATTTGTTAATATTCATCAAAAGCCATGTTATTTATCAAATCCTGATGACGATAGCATAACATGTTTTAAATCCGTAAGACTATAACAACACAATTATTTTCCTTAAAAGATGCCCCATTAAGAAATATTGTTAGATCATACTAGATCTGACTGATAATATATATATATATATTTTGCTGTTGTTGAAATTCATGTTTAAATTGACAAGTGAGATCACAAAAAGGTGAACATAGCACTACAGGTAAACGGACAGCTTACAAAAAGCTAGAACTGCATTCAATATAACCTCTGGCCACAGTACTGTATTAATTTCATCGAGAAGCAAAACTGCATTATTACTCTACTAAACTGTTTCTCACACATATAGAAAGAAATATGATAGGAATGACAATTTGTTTATACTCGAAATTTCACTCAGAAATGGTAAAATAAGAAATGCAGATGTTATCTAAATATCTACAGCTATACCTCTTACAGAGTGGACACACACCTAACTGCCTACATCAACATATAAACATCTTTCTGTCTACAGCAATACCAAAAACAACTGGACACACACCTTACAGTCTACATCAAGACACACACTTCACTGTCTACAGCAACAGCCACATAGATTGGACACACACCTTATCCACTACAGAATTTCTCAAATAGACTGGACAAAAGCTTCATTGCCTACAGCAATACCCTTACAGGTTCACTGAATACAGCAACACCCACATAGACTGGACACACCACATTACCAACAGCAATAACCACAGAGACTGGACACGTTCCACACTGCCTTCAGCAATTGATACATAGACTGGACACACCACATTACCAACAGCAATAACCACAGAGACTGGACACATTCCACACTGCCTTCAGCGATAAATACATAGACTGGACACACCACATTACCAACAGCAATACCCACAGAGACTGGACACGTTCCACACTGCCTTCAGCGATACCTACATACACTGGACACAATCCACCACTGCCAGTAGCAAAATTCTCATAGACTGGACACATGCTGCACTGTCTACAGTAATACCCACGAAGACTGGACATATTCCACACTGTCTACAGTGATACCCACACAAACTGGACATGTTCCACACTGTCTACAGTGATACCCACATACAGTGGACACAATCCATACTGTGTACAGTGGTACCTCCATAGACTGGACACAATCCACACTGTCTACAGTGATACTCACAGAGACTGGACACAATCCACACTGTCTACAGTGATACCCACACAGACTGGACACAATCCATACTATCTACAGTGATACCCACACAGACTGGACACAATCCATACTGGCTACAGTGATACCCATATAGACTGGACACAATCCATACTGTCTACATTGATACCCACATACAGTGGACACAATCCATACTCTGTACAGTGGTACCTCCATAGACTGGACACAATCCATACTGTGTACAGTGGTACCTCCATAGACTGGACACACCTCACTGTCTACAGCAACACCCACATACACAAATAGCCACAACTCATTGTCTACAGTGATTCTCACAAAGATTGGTAATGACAACTTATTGTCTACTAAAATACATATATACTAGTTACTACATACACACAGATAATAGGCAGCATTAAGCTTCTGAAGACATTTAACAATATGTAACAATTGAGTGACCAGATGTAAGTATAACTATTCATTACACTTATAAGCACAATTAAAATAGTAATTAAATGGCAACAATGTAACATTTTATTAATTATATTCTATTTATTGTAATTTAACTCATTTAAACTACCAAATATAACCACCTACATTTTACCTTCAGTCTAAAAAGGTTACACAAACATGTCAAAAAACAGTGTCACTGATTTGAGCTGACAGAGTCAGAGATCTTCAGCGGCTTCTGATTCATGAGTGCTAATTAGCATATTGTGGTTAATTCTTTATAGTACTAGACAATATCATGTGTGTATGTATTGGTCATGTAACTATATCACTTTGTGTGACATGAATATGTAGTGATGTAGGGTCCTATGTCTTAAGTGTTGTAGGGTCCTTTGTCTTAATTGATGTAGGGTCCTATGTCTTAAGTGATGTAGGGTCCTGTGGCTTAAGTGATGTAGGTTCCTATGTCTTAATTGATGTAGGATCCTATGTCTTAAGTGATGTAGGGTCCTATGTCTTAATTGATGTAGGGTCCTATGTCTTAAGTGATGTAGGGTCCTATGTCTTAATTGATGTAGGGTCTTATGTCTTAAGTGATGTAGGGTCCTATGTCTTAAAGTGTTGTAGGGTCCAATGTCTTACATGATGTTGGGTCCTACAATAAAATCTAAGGTGTGAAAATTTCGATTGTTTTGAAGCTAGTCTCAACTCGCCTGATGATCATAACCCCATGAACACAACCAAAGCAAATTTCAACCCTGACCTCAAGTTAAATGCTAATGATATTACAGTGATATTGATTAATGGAAGTTTAATAACATATTAATATAAAAAGACAGAGGTGGACAATGTTACTACTTTATCAATATATTGCAATATTTGTCTTGGCAATGCAAATGCAAATCTAATTTTTCAAATGGCAATATAATTTTGAATAGAAACAAAGAATGATATAATTTTAAAACATCAAATTAATGCTTCATATATTGAAGAAAGCCTGTGTAATGTGACATTTTCTAGAATTATATAAAACAGTTATTATTGAAGGCTTCTCACCTTCAGGTTTTGTATTTTCTATATAAAATTACTATAGGTACAGATCATGTGATCACAATATACGGCAATATTCACAAGTATTACAATATAAAAATTACTTCAAACCCCACCTCTTACCTTAGACATCATAAACCCATACCATAGTAAACCTCTAGTCTGTCCAATACAGGGGACAGTTCAAACAAACATGTTTCTGAACAAAAGTAACAAATTTCCATTTAGAAACAATTCAAACTCCACTAAAACAAACTTAAGTACACTTAGGATTATTTTAACGTACAAAGTTTGAATACCTTATGAATTCTTAAAAATGTTAGATCTTGGCAATGCAAAAAACACTAACGCTAGAACAATGATTATAATGCTGAGGGTGATTGATAGTCAGGTGTATGAGTGACTGTTACCTAAGACAGAAGATCATGCATGTCACATTTTATGATGTGTTTTAAAACACTTCAGCTATAAAACTGTACATACTACTTGAGGTGTCGACTTAGAGCATAGGTGTACAATCAATATGGACGTTAACGATGTGTTTGATGAAATCACACCTGCACCATTACTTACAAGTGCAACGTACAACAGTCTTAACTCTAATATTGGATTCTTTAACCTTACTTGGATCATTACTACATATTACTATCTGATGTGTTACACAAGTGCAAAAATTTGATGAGAAGTCATTCAAACTTCAAAGGTAACCATGGTAACAGTTCAAGAGAACCTAGAAATAGGGTGGGTTGTGTGCCAGTAGGTATTCTACCTACTAATACAACAAAGAAACATGTGCTGTTTTGGGGCGAAGATAATGACACCTGATTTGCAACATCCATTGTGATAAAAATACAATTTGAAACATGCAACTTATCTAATTATTGATTTGAACATTGAACGTTCGTAATTACCCTGCAATTTAAAACATTGCAGTAGTTGTTGCTGATTAGGAGAATTATTCTAGCAGGAAAAATGTGAGGTAAATTGAACAGGTGTCATGTTATTGAACTATGAACAGACCAGAGGTTTACTGTATCAGCAATTATTACAACTAATTTCTATAAACAATAAACATTAGCTTTGTCAGAAAGTATATACCCATCTGTTGTAAAACTTTCAAAACACATAAAAATAGGAAATTAAAAAAAATCAATTATACTGATGACATGCTTTTGGTTGTCGGCATTTGGCTTTTCTACTGTCAATCTACACTGAGATTATTTGTAAGCAGAAATTGTTCTCATCCAAGGTGTTTCCTAAATTCTGGAACCCTTCTGCTGCAACACCTGTAAATAAAACACAATGTGCTTTCATACAGCTTTGTAACATTTAACAAAAACAGCGAATAGTGGAAGAGGGAATAATTATCCTAAAATATCAAAAAGAGTCCAAATTTTAGAAGTAAAGGTTACAAAAACAACATTCACTACTTTTTCTCAACATTCCCACAAAATTTCATCTCAGACACCAATAGAACATGAACAGGATTTTAAAATAGTTTTTTTTATGGTGGAAATCACAGTGACAATGAATTTCAGACGAACACAAAAAAATTACAACATATTTGGTCTACAGCATCATAGCATCATTTCAGATAATAAGTTTGTGCTGAAACTTAAGGTAAGTTTAAAATATGTTGATGTTAAGAAAAACCATGAATATGAAATAAAGTTGAAAATGGCCACTAGCTTCCATATCCAAGTTTTGACAAAAAATAACAGCACCTAGGAAAATGTATGTGATATGTGTGTGATACCTTTGCTCTGTCCGTTGGTTCTGGGTCCTGGCCATTGACAATGTTGGGACACTCTTTAGATACAACACACAAAAACTCGGCATGATCTTCGCTGCCATAGTTATATTGGGATCCAATATTCACCAGCTGAAAATAGATGGAATTATATTGAACTCTTTATTGGGATGTACAGTCTAGATACATTTCCCTTAACTTGTAAGTACATATATTTTATTGATAATTAGACAAATGTCTCACAGCATCCTGCTGACACAAGTATACAATATCCAAAAAATATCTTGACCCTTCAGGTCAGATGACCAAAAAAGTTAAGTACTGACAAACATCGCCATGCTTTAAAATGTCAAATCATCATTTTAGGTCAATTATCTTGTGTAATGAAGCAGTTTTATTACACTCAGGCAATGTTTACAGTTCCAGGGTGACAGTACTTACCTGTTCAAACTTCCAGCCATCAGACATCGCAGACACAATCTGTGTTAACTCCTCCTCTGAACATTGCAGGACACGATACACACTTTTAGTGAATGACTGTAATACAAAGATTTATACACAATCATAACTCCTATGTTGTGAAACAGATATAATTTGTTGGTAAATTTAATAAAATAAATTGACTATAAGATAATTGATGGAAAAGATTCCACCTTATAGTTATTGGACACTATGATTTCTTTAAGTGACTCGATATGGGCTGAAATCCATGAGGTTGGTTTTACCTTAATTTACATACCGGTATTACATGATTCTTCAGTTTTATAATCATTTAATTCATACCTGATTCTGCTTTGCATTTCGCTCCACAATCTTTTCCTTCACTAACTTGATCAAATCAGTAATGTTGTAGAATTCAGCTTCCTCTAGGATTCCTAAAAAACAAAGTCATATTTATATAGAAGCAGTTTTCTAATAGCTACAACTCTGCATACTGATAAAAAGGAGTGATATGGCATCACCTAGTATATCTGTACAAAACATTCATATACCAGGTGCATGTGTGATATAACAGTATGTGTGATGTATCTTTGTGATGAGACCTGTGTGATACATCTTTGTGATGAGGCCTGTGTGATGTATCTTTGTGATAAGGCCTGTGTGATGTATCTTTGTGATAAGGCCTGTGTGATGTATCTTTGTGATAAGGCCTGTGTGATGTATCTTTGTGATAAGGCCTGTGTGATGTATCTTTGTGATAATACATGTGTGATGTATATTTTTGATGAGGCATGTGTAATGTATCTTTGTGATAATACATGTGTGATGTATATTTTTGATGAGGCATGTGTAATGTATCTTTGTGATAATACATGTGTGATACATCTTTGTGATGAGACATGCGTGATGAATATTTGTGATGAGACATGTGTGATACATCTTTGTGATGAGGCCTGTGTGATACAACTTTGTGATGAGACATGTGTGATACATCTTTGTGATAAGGCATGTGTGATACAACTTTGTGATGAGGCCTGTGTGATACATCTTTGTGATGAGGCATGTGTGATACATCTTTGTGATAAGGCATGTGTGATGTATCTTTGTGATGAGACATGTGTGATGAATATTTGTGATGAGACATGTGTGATACATCTTTGTGATGAGGCCTGTGTGATACAACTTTGTGATTAGACATGTGTGATACATCTTTGTGATGAGGCATGTGTGATGTATCTTTGTGATAAGGCATGTGTGGTGAATCTTTGAATGTCTGAAAAGACATGTGTAATACATGTGTGTGATAAGACATGTGTGATATATATAAGGCATATTTATTACTGTATACAATATATATGTGTGATTCAGTTATTACTTTACCTTCTTCAGCCAGGTCCCTATTGATGACTAATTTTCCATGTCGTAGATAATTCAACACTGGACCAAAGTAGGTGGGGTCTCTATCAATCAGGTAGGCACCATTATCATCCTGTTTATTAAAAAAGTGTTGACAAGTTTATTCTGACTCTAGGACATTTTCACTGCTGTTGAATAATTCAAGTTACACATAGCTCATTCACATCATACACTGTCGTATTTTACAGAAAAGCCACCAGTAGTCTCAAAACAAAACACCTACAAAATTTCAGCTAAATGGCACCTGTGGAAGTGGAGATGAGGCACCAAAGAATGATGGCTATATTGGATTTTGGACAGACCTGGAAAATTAACAACACTTAGGGTTAGGACCATCTCAGGATCATTTCAGACAAGTTCAAGCTAAATCCCACAAGTGGAACTTGAGAAGTTGAAAGTAAGCTCCTTAAAACTCCACCAATTTCCAGCTCAATGGAATTTGAAAAGGATTGTTACTTCTGAGATAAGCAATATTGAATATAAAGGTTAAAGGATAGATATCATGTGTAATGAAACAGGAATTGTGACACTGAATACAGTGTCAATACATGCATACCATCAAAACTGTCATCCTATACTGATAACTCTTATAAAGTTATTTCCAGTGGGATATAACCAATGTTATGCTCAAAATTGCAATTTTTCTATGAAAATTACAGTAAAGTCTAAAAAAATATTCCTCCCAGGAAAAAGTGAGGCTCATTTTGGTAATTAAAGCACTTAAAGATGCTTCCATTCATGAAGAGCATTTGATTCTACGATATCTGGGTGCTGAGAAGAAGATTTTTGAAATTTAAATCAATTTACCCCTTTTGGCCCCATCAATCAGTCCTTGGGGGTCAGTTAGGATAAAAAAAGGCATACTATCAGGTCGGCACCCTTCACTCATAATTCTAACCAAGTTTGAAATATTTCCAACGGGAATTAAACAAATTATGTTCAAAAATCTAGTTTTCCAATATAAACTATTGTAAACTATAAACCATCCCCATGGGGAAATGTGAAACCCTGGGGCCATGAAATTTACCATTCTAACATTTCAGACCAGCTCCAAAAATAAGAACGCTTGGTCAGGACCATCTCATGATCATTTAAAGCAAGTCAAAGCTGAACCCCAATGGTAAAACTTGAGATGAAGTTAAAAATAATTACTGTTGCAAAATGACTGCCATGATTCCCATGTCAAAGTTTTCAGGAGGCCAAAATAAAAGAGAATACTTTGTTAGCTTCCTTCTTCAAAATACCAATAAAGTTTCACCTCAGAGGCATCAGTGGAACTTGATCAAGATTGCCACCATCTTGATTTTGGATTTTCCCAAAATAATAAAAAGCCTTCATAAGCACCGTCTAAAGATCATTAATGCCGCATTTGAGATCACTTGTGAAACTTTAAATGTTTAAAATGTAAAAAGTTTATGAAAGGCAGACTGTGGATGGCACACATCGGCAGATGAAACAAAATGACAATAGATCATCCTGACCATTCGCAAAGTACCAACAAAGAGAGCACTAGCAACCCATTTTAATGTTAGACATGGAGAAAAACAATGATGTCACAAAACATGAAAGTACAAAAGACTATTATGACCATACGTAGTATATTGCATATTTTGAGCAATTTTTAACTGACCCGGCATGTCGCTTGAAAACATTTGCCAGGTGCAACGATTTATTCAAACATACTCAAATCTACCCAAATCTATCTAAATTTTACCCAAACCTATGGCTTATTGTCCAAATTTGTCACTTACAACACTTGTTTAACACTGCAGCTATGTTTTATCGGTTGTGACATTCTCTTTTGAGGTTGTCTCCCTTCTATTGAAGAGATACCAAGTTATCACCTAGCCTGCATTGACTTTAACTTAAAACACAAAAAATACATTGAATTTTGGAAGAAAACAACAATGATAAGTAAATTAATTATGTAAGTTAATATTTGGTAGAATTAAATTGATAGTTATGTTGAGAAATTAATGTACATACGAATCTGACAGATGGAAGGGAGACAAAATATTTATGTTCCAAGATGATTATGATCACCAAGAAAAATATTGTGGTATATATGTGTACGATTTTAGTAAAATATAAGAAAGATTTTGATAAGATTTGGGTAAATTTTGGAAATATGCCATGCTGCAAAAACGTTTAGGGCACAGACACAGCGTAACACACCAATGTTACAAGTATAAACTTCCAAATTTTAATGCACCAAATAATAGTGGGATTTTGGCTGTAACTTTGAATGAAGTATTTGTCTTTATATCATTCACTTTTATGCTTTTTGTCACATTTTCAAAAAGTTATTTACTCCAACCATCCTGATCATCCTCATTGGCTCCTCTTTATCTTGGTCACAGAAATGTATGGCAGGTAGTGAGGTTAAGGACAACTGACTCCAGTTACACTTGCAATTATGTGTAAAAAAATATTAAAATGCTATGCCCCACACTGTGGCTCAATGTAGCAATTATGATAACCTTTCTCTCTCATCCCTACCACTAAACAGAAGGGAAATTTACTACTAGTCCACAAATGAAGTGACTCGTACTCTTTCAGCCTAAAAATACTGGAGTTTTTATAAATAATATTTTCGTGCTTTCTTATACAGATCCATCTACATTAATATTTACTACTGATCAACAGCAGATATGTCTTTGTAAGTCCAGGACCTGTATCAGCTACAATAGCTCCATTGCAAGGATCATAATCATATTACCTTATCTGTGTTAAGGTCAGGTTCATCTTGGACAAGTCTATATAAGAAAGACTTTGGGTCTCTACAAAGTGTTGTCCTTGTCGTCATAAAAACAGTTCCTCCAACGTTTAATTTTACCCATTGACTTTTTCTACTCGTAGACGTTGAGCATTCTGGTACATTATTAACACCGTCCTTTCCAGGCTCCGTTGCCATTTCAAAATGCAAAAGTCACTTTAGAGCCTTGAGCTTTCCTTGATGATGTGTGAGACGAGGAAGCTGGCCCTGCAATATAATTATTATGGTGACGAAATGTCATTTAGTTATTCTGATATTCTGTCTCACAACTGATGAATTAAAATCTTATCTGGGTGAATAATGCGCTTGTCCAACTCCACTTGTGTGAAGCATATGAATGATCAAGACATTTACAATGAAATCTATAACTCGTTCAATACACGCTGTTGACTCAGCAATAGGCAGGCCGCTTCTTGGCGCACCCTGTTGAAACGGTTTAGGGGTGAACCCGAAAAAAGTGAATGTAACAAATAAGTAGACTCTGAGAAATGACTTTGAAGTTCGTTCTTATTGTGTAGTTTCTTATTGAGTAAAAAAATGCCTATCCCAAGTCGTCAAGGTTTTCTGCAGAAAACTTGGACATAACAAGTTTTAGCCTCGTTCCCATTCACAGTATATACCTTTCTTATTGTTCTAGTTGGACCGTTGCAACCAGATTCGAGGAAGCGGACACGTTTCACCGGTTGGCTGTGCCCTTGAGAGCAAACAGGAGGCCATGGCGAGTAAAAGATTGGCAACGTCTGCCGTCAACTGGAAGGCATTAGGCGAAAGGGTGTCTGAAGCCAACCTCGCCAATTTCAAGAAATTCAAATTGCTTTCGGATACCTATGCAGGAAAGTAAGTATATAGTATGAAATATCGATACCCAAGGACATGCTAGCTCGACCCTCTCCGTTCAATTTTAAGGCACCATTCTAGTAAAAATGCACTTAACTCAATTTTTACTTGAAAATCACGATGTGAAGCATGATATTCGCCGATCAAAGTATCTCAGCAACGGTTTACACTGCTAATAAATAAAGCATAAATATTATGACGATGTTGACATGAAAATAACAACTGTTATAAAACAACACAAGTAAATTTGAAGAATTATATAGGACATGACTGGAAAAGACTCTGCGAGCCCATTACATGAAAAGAAATTAAGAAAATCATCATCACAATTACAAAAAAAAAAAAAAAAAAACAGCCAGAGTTGTTTACAATTTCAATTGTGATCACTGTATAGTACCTGTTACTACTATTAACAAAAGTTGATGGATTGATGAATTTTTTGGACAATAAATGAATAAATGAGGAGTCTGGTGTAGAGGACTAAAGATCCTGTACCAGAAATTATCGCTAAATATCACTAAGTAAATGTGAAAAAATATATCAATATTTGGTCTTTCAAAACTCATGATGTTCTGCTTTAAATAGTCTAATCATGTCAACAAGTTGATACTACTACAAAGTTTGATCCACATGATAAACTCATATTTCAGTGTTGGAAGTACATTTCTATCATTATTTTTTAAGAGGAAATGGTTCTTGTCTCTATATGTCTGAATATGTGATGGTTTTGTCAGATGATATTTTATGAAATCTGTGCATGCATTTAAATATAAAAAAAAATATTGATCACCCTGTTAAACTCCTCAGATGGGGTTTCTGTTGAATGATAACATGGGTCTCAGTTATAGGGCACCTTCAACATTATGTAAGACAAAATGATGAGTTTAACTTAACATGCCATCATTTTTCTACACATAAAATAAAAAACCTTGACCTCACTGAAAAGAAATCACACCTGAGCGGTTTAACAAGGAGGTATAACATGATGTAAGCCACCTTACTGGTTGTTCACTTTGAACTTTTACATGTATATTTTTATCTTATTTATGTGTTGACATCTGACATGACTTTCAGATGTTACCTTTTTGTTTGATTTATGTTTTAATTAAAAGTATGTTAGAAACAACTTCTTAGAAACCAAATGGCCCAAGGTACTAATATTGAATGTGTGGCATGCTTATCAGCAATGTTCAAACTATTGACATTGACTCAGCCTTAAATGTTACAAGGGTCAAATGTTTTGAAATATGTATGTGACTGCTTTTCAAAAACCAAAATCTTCAAGGTGCTGATATTGGTGCTGTATTATGCTAGGAGAACATAACTGCCCATGCATTGGGATATGTAGATCTTAATGTACTTTTATGGTACCAAGTAAAATTTATGGTTAAATGTTACATCCAATTTTTATTGTAACCAGTGGCAAGATTGACAAATGGTATGGTGTATCAATTTGTATTCAAAAATCTTTATTATACTGCTTATTTTTCATTCATTTTTTAAAAATGAAATTACCGGCAAATTCTTAATATACATGACATCATGATTTATTTACATTATGAAGCAGTATTATACAGGTTGACACCATCACTCCATGTGAAAGACCATAACTAAAAGATAATACATGATCATGAGAGGGTACCTGTGTTTCTGCTCAATCAGTTGGCAATGTTTTTTCAGCCTACCCTTAAAATTTTTTGACAGTATTCAAGGAAAGACTTTAAAAGTGAGGATTCCTTGCCAGAAAACTCTAAAGATAAGAAAGATTTCCCATTTTTTTCTGGCATCAGAGCGATAAGTCTTTCAGCTCTTTATAATTCATATGATTTTGATCTTGACTTAATTAACACTTGTATCATACATTAATATCTGTGGTATGTTTTGGTTGAATATTTCTTCTTGTTCTTTTCAGGGTTTCTCAGCTCCCAGAAACTTTACCGAAGATTGATTTTGCACGCTACAAGTCTCTTGGTGCTCCTGCTGCTGTTGTCGACAGTATAGAGAAAACTGTAAGATTGTGTTTCTTACCTTTGATAATATATATATATATTGAGATCATGGCTGTTAATTACATACTGTACTTGTTTATAGCTCCTCATCGTATACATTGCCATGTAGTACAATGTCCATTATCTCTCCATTTTCTTCTTCCCTGGTAATTGGCATGTATGACTATTGGAGATGTAGGATCAATATTACAAGAATTGTATGCTGATTTTCTTCCTCCTGCAGAGGAATTCACAAGCTGTATTAATACTGACATGTGACTGTAAACATCAACATGTGACATTTAACATCATGTAACTGTGTTAACACTGGCATGTGACTGTGTTAACATTGACATGTGACTATGTTAACATTGACATGTGACTATGTTAACATTGACATGTGACTGTGTTAACATTAATAATTTACTTCATATATGCTTGTTTTTATAGTATGGATCTGCCAAGGTATCCTACCCAGTTGACGCCAACAACAGCGTTGCTAAAATTGGAAAAGAACTTGACGAGATGGTATGTATGTTGTACCTCAGACATTAACACTCAGTATCTTTTGTAGACCTTAATGCAACATCACAGTAAAACCATTTTTTGTACTTATTTTTTTTATCATTGTATATATATATAAAATGTATCACTTTATGAACAATGACAGTTGCTTTTCACTGAAATATACACATAAAGAAGTTAATTGATATGAAAAGGAAATCCTGTTTATCAACAGTCTGGATGTGTAAATTTTGCATAACTTATGATAACTCATGTACAAAAATGCCTGTAAACAATATTGGCTACCAGCCTGAATCAGTCAGGACAATGTTGCCCATTAATGTCACTTTATTCGTAATTCTGAGTTAACTTACGGTTATCAAATAACATTTGCATTTTGTTAACACAAACACATGATGGCTGGCAGAAATGAATAGTGACACAATAAGTAAAATTCTGTTTTTCAGCACCAGATCATCAAGATCTGCTTATCAAATACAAATTTTCATTTAATGACCAATGACTACTATTTTGATAGTTAGTATTAATTTTGGGTAATTTTTTTTTAATAGATAGAAAACTAAAGCTTTTGCAAGCTGGTAGGTCATTAAATGTCATGGTATCAGTAAAAAGCTCCAACAAAATTGTTCTAGCTTATGATGAAAGAAAGCAATTCTGAATTTTCCTTTATCACTGACAGTACAGGTACGTTGTATATCACGCTTGAGGGCAGCATGATCTTGTTGGTACATATAATTGTTTTAATGAGAAGAATGAATTCATCTCGGTATCATTTTATGATTTTTATCAAAGACATATATAAACACAAACATATAGGTGGACTCATCTTGTCTTCCATCTGTTAAGCAGCAACTCCTTTTTCATGTGTTTGATCTGCTGAAAGGGAAACAAGTTTGTGTATATATATGCAGATATCATTGTACATGTGTGAAAAAGTAACACAGCTTTCTTTTTTAATTTCAGAAAGTTAACAGGACAGCTTATGTGGCAGAACAAAACAAAACTATTCAAGACCTAAGAGAAATGGTGAGTGTTCTATCATAGGACAGATTCTATATATAGTACTGTTTTTACTGTAAGGAACCTAATGAGTAGATTTCCTTCCAAGCATTGTAACACTTAAAATTAGACTATTCAAAAAATTTAAGTACTTTATGAGAAAAATTGATAAAGATCAGCAGCTTCAAACTAAATTTGGTTGACAGTGGTGTCCTTCCAAGACCTTCATTTTGACACCTTAAATTGACAAAAGACCCAAAATTGATTGAGTTTTACACAACTTGGTTTGAATCCCGAGACTCTTACAATTCACTGGGAAAACCCTGATTCTGTTGTTTTTTTTAGAATGTTGATACACCCGTGTAGTATTAATACATGTTTTTATAAATATCTTTCCTTGTCTAAGTAAGTTTCATTTTTCATAATATAAATAATATGTATAAGTTTCCAGAGTGAAAGTTGTTGTTATTCAATGAAGTCCAATTTCATGGATGATTCATTGAATGTCACAGTAATGTTTCACTAAAAAATATTTAATAACCTGTACTTTCTAAAAATGATATGCACTGCATAGTGTATTCATATTTTTTTTGTATTTGGATGCTCATTTCCCAATGATTTGTTGTCATCTAGAATTATCTTATTTCTAGCACCAAATGAGGCAGCAGTCCTCCAAACAATTTTCCTGGGAACAAGGGTGTCTGGATTATTAGGGCACTGCTGCTTTAGAATTAGAATTTCAGACAATATGCAAAATTCAAGGTAAAATCAATACTTTATTGCATTTTAGATTGATGTCTGCAAAAAAGCATTCCCTCCAAAAGATGAATGGACCATCCAACTGTACACAGCCTATTTCCCAGACTGCGTTCCGGACCCAGAGCTTAGGCCAACAATCTTCCCACATACAATGTTGAATGAAGAATTCTTTGGAGATGTTGCTAGTAAGTATGACATTGTGATGGGACCATGCACTAAAGATAGGTTTTACCCTGTACCCTTCATCAGGTGGAAAAAAATCATGCTGGCCTAAAGGCTGACTCAGGATGAAGCAGACTAGAGTGAAATGAAATGAGGAGATACATTCTCAAGGTTTGATAATCAGGAATGTATTCCCAGGATTATAGACAACATAATATGACATCATGTTTGTGCTGAGTTGGCAAACATTATGTCAGTATTGAATGAAGGAATCAATTTTGTATAAATTAGGGTCTTGGCCGTCTGAGTAAAGAAGGGTGGGTCCTAAATGTGAAATAGAGCAAATTCTTTTTTTAAAAAAATCCTTCTGTTTTTGTAGGCATATAGGAATTCTTTCCAAATTTGATGTGAAAAATTGTTTGATAAAAGGGAAATCGTTTGAATTAAACAAAAGGTCTCGACTTTCTGGGGTGGTAGGGGTCAAGTCTTACAGGGAAAATAGAGAAAATTCTTTGAAATTCCTTATTTTTTTGGAAAGTTTTGATCATATCCCAATATGATCTGAAGCAAACCTGGATGAAAGGAAACCAATTTTTTATAAAACGAGGAATCTGACCCCCTGAGGCCAGAGGTATGAAGTCTAATTAGGGAATTGTAGGTAGTTATAAAAAATTCTTCTTCTATGGCATTGTCCAAGTTTTGTCTAAAGCATTAATGGGATTTAATTATGTTTGTATGACTACAAGTCCAGGGCCCAAAAGGGAAATTATTTCAGAAATTATACTTCTTGTTTGAAATTCTTAGTTTAATGAAAGCCACATGTACATATAGAACCATAATACCAAAGTCAACTTAAGGTTATATTGTCAAGGCCTCCATTTCTGTATCTTCTCTTGTTGTTGTTATGAAAATAGTGACATTACTATAACTCTTGTGACTTACTTTTTTAAAGGACTATGATCAGACTTTACACAAATCAAGCAATCTTACAGAAATACTTTGAATAAGTGTGTTTCAAAATCATTTTGTTTATCTTTACAGAAATGTCTTAATGATCTTTATAGCAGTTATTCATGTCTGATATTTTCTAGCTGTCTGCATTTACCAGATTGCACAATTATGAAATTTCACAAAAAAAACCCATTTTTTTTTACTTTTTTTCAGGGCAGAGTCAGGCATTTTATGACTTTGACCTTTCAACTGCCCCAATGTTTCGGATGCCTTACAGCAGTACAACCAAGAACGAGTACACGGTTACCAGAGACCCCGAGTTTGTGGATTTAACCTTCTCATATGGATACAATCCTACAAAGCAAGAGTTAGAGAAAATAGAGGCAGAATGGCCCGGAAAATCAAAGAAGTATTGGGATGATGTTGATGCAAAAACCAAAGAATTTTGGTTGAAGCATGAAGAGGGAAAAGAACTTTTCAGGGAGTTGAAGGAGACCATTATGTCTAAAATTAGGAGGAAGAAGTAGTCAGGAACATAGCTAAGCTAAACAGCTAAAGCAATGAACACTAGTATGGTTGAATTTGTGAATGAAAATGACTATTTTAACGTCATACATAATGAAGAGAAATTGGACATTCTCTATTTGTTGTCACATTCAACATAATTACAGTTTCTTTGAAGTGGTAATGAATAAAATTTTGACAAACTAGTTCTGAACTTCTTACCTCTTTCATCTCTTGCTTTTTAAAGGGTGGACTCTGTGATCAACAGCATCGTTATAGGTCAACCGCAGTGTAAAATTATGGCACTGCATCCATTGTCTTTCAATTTGCTAATAGTAATGAATACAATAGGGCAGTGCATATCAATATCAGCAAATATCAGACACTGAATCAATACAGTGTGGTAATATTCCTGAAGAAAAAGTATTAACAATTTACTTCAGGGCCCTGATGTTAGTCATCTTGGAGACAGAACACACGTTGCACAGATTATTCAATATTTTTCAATATTTAAGATGGTGATTACGATCTTATAATCACATTACTTATTATTTATAACTGAAATTTTATGAATTTGTTTTAAAAATGAACTAAAGATGTAGAAAGGGACAAAATTTTTTTTTTTTTCTTTTGTATAGTTTTCATGTTTGTTTTTGTTCCTGATGGCTAAAAACCTTATCTTCGGATTATTATACTGGGATTACACATACATATGTATTGTATCACAACACATATATTGCAATACATATCATGAGGTGTTAGACAATAAATACACAGGCCTAGTCATAATGACTGAGCAGGAATTGAGCAAGGCAGAGACGAATAGAGGGACTAACGCAATTTTATAAAGATCTTTGTAGGAGTTACAGAAATCTGCAGCAATGGACTGAAGTGTTCTTGGATTTAGGGAATTCAACTTTGTATATAAATGTATGGTGTGACTCCACACCCTCTGGGTCCAAAAAGGTAAATAGATCAATCTCATGATGGTATGAAAGTATTTTGTCAAAATTTGGTCTAGACATTCCTCAGGTGAAAGAGACTTCATTTTATGTAAATTGCGAGTCCTGACCCCATAATGAGAAAAGATATTCCATGCTTTACAGTTGGATGTTATTGGACTTCCATAGTAGAGAGCCCACCAGGCTTTGTAAATTGTAGATGTAGCATGAACTAGTTGAACTAATTAAATAGAACATGAAAACAAATTCTTTATATGAAATCTGTTCATTTCCCAAACAGAAATTATTTGAACTTCATTGGTATATAATCATGGGATGACAGGTACTTTGAGACATTTTACCCAGAAGCTGATGGGTAGGGCCAAAATTGGGCCAGACCTTAAAACTTGACAATCATTTTTGCAATGGCCATGTTAATTCAATTATTCATTGTTGCTTTATTTAATTTTCATGTATCATTTGTTCCATAATTTCTATGCCAGGACAAAAAAACCCAAAAAACAAATATCTTCATGTAATGTGTATTACCAGCATACAAATTTTGATCAACATGTTCCAATGTAATGGGGACCTTTACGTAGGGCCCCTAATGCCCTCACAGTCAATGAAAAAATTTAAATGGATGTTTACAATATCAAAGTGTTCCCACATTAGAGACATCACTAGGGAAGCTATTTTGTCTAATTGTGCAATGTAAGTGTGTGTAGTGTTATGATTAACCTCACCACATAAGTTGCCTCTAGAGGACCGCCATTTTGTCCATTCGGAAAATGGACATCACTGTTGTTTGTCATCACAAACAACACCTGTATACAAATTTTTATTAAAATTGGATGAAATATAAATTTCAGAAACCTCTCCTTTGCACCAATTTTGTCCAATCAGATAATGGACTCCATTATTATGTTCAAAATTCCAGACAATTAACTATATATCAGATTTGTTGATGAAAATATAGTGTCATAATTATGAAGATGCTTTCCACAAAGTTTCATCAAATTTTAATAAGGAGAACAAAAGTTATTGAGCAAAGTTTGACAAATCAGATGCAAGCACATGACTTCCGTTTTTAATTTTTTCAAACGGTATCCAAATGGCACATCTAGAATAGCCAATGGACATTGAAAGTTTAATGGCTATGCAGTTAATATTTACAAGGAATGTAACCGACATTGTTGGCTGAATAAGGAAAAGACCACAACACAACTCTGTTGTTCTTTATCTCTATCTCATGACCACAGCACAACTCTGTTGTTCTGTATCTCATGTCCACAATACAACTCTGTTGTTCTTTATCTCATGACTCAACACAACTCTGTTGTTCTTTATCTCATGACCACACCACAACTCTGTTGTTCTTTATCTCATGATCACAACACAACTGTTGTTCTTCATCTCATTACCACAGCACAACTCTGTTGTTAGTTATCTCATGACCACAGCTCAACTCTGTTGTTCTCTATCTCATGACCACAACACAACTCTGATGTTCTTTATCTCTATCTCAAGACCACAACACAACTCTGTTGTTCTTTATCTCATGACCACAACACAACTCTGTTGTTCTTTATCTCTATCTCATAATCACAACACAACTCTGTTGTTCTTTATCTCTATCTCATGACCACAACACAACTCTGTTGTTCTTTATCTCATGTCCACAATACAACTCTGTTCTTCTTTATCTCATGACTACAATACAACTCTGTTGTTCTTTATCTCATGTCCACAACACAACTCTTGTTCTTTATCTCATGACCACAACACAACTCTGTTGTTCTTTATCTCATGACCACAACACAACTCTATTGTTCTTTATCTCTATCTCATGATCACAACACAACTCTGTTGTTCTTTATCTCATCACTACAACACAACTCTGTTGTTCTTTATCTCATGTCCACAATACAACTCTGTTCTTCTTTATCTCATGATCACACCACAACTCTGTTGTTCTTCATCTCATCACCACAGCACAACTCTGTCGTTCTTTATCTCATGACCACAGCACAACTCTGTTGTTCTCTATCTCATGACCACAACACAACTCTGTTGTTATTTATCTCTATCTCAAGACCACAACACAACTCTGTTGTTCTTTATCTTGACCACAACACAACTCTCATCAACACACAGATCACAACACAACTCTGTTGTTCTTTATCTCATGACCACAATACAACTCTGTTGTTCTTTATCTCATGACCACAACACAACTCTGTTGTTCTTTATCTCATGACCACAACACAACTCTGTTGTTCTTTATCTCATGAGGCAACACAACTCTGTTGTTAGTTATCTCATGACCACAGTACAACTCTGTTGTTCTTTATCTCATGACCACAACACAACTCTGTTGTTCTTTATCTCATGATCACAACACAACTCTGTTGTTCTTTATTTATCTCATGACCACAACACAACTCTGTTGTTCTCTATCTCATGACCACAACACAACTCTGTTGTTCTTTATCTCTATCTCATGACCACAACACAACTCTGTTGTTCTTTATCTCATGACCACAACACAACTCTGTTGTTCTTTATCTCATGACCACAATACAACTCTGTTCTTCTTTATCTCATGACCACAATACAACTCTGTTGTTCTTTATCTCATGACCACAACACAACTCTGTTGTTCTTTATCTCATGTCCACAATACAAATCTGTTCTTCTTTATCTCATGACCACAACACAACTCTGTTGTTCTTTATCTCATGATCACACCACAACTCTGTTGTTCTTTATCTTTATCTCATGATCACAACACATCTCATGACCACAACACAACTCTGTTGTTCTTTATCTCATGTCCACAATACAACTCTGTTGTTAGTTATCTCATGACCACAGTACAACTCTGTTGTTCTTTATCTCATGTCCACAATACAACTCTGTTGTTCTTTATCTCATGACCACAACACAACTCTGTTGTTCTTTATCTCATGATCACACCACAACTCTGTTGTTCTTCATCTCATCACCACAGCACAACTCATCACCACAACACAACTCTGTTGTTCTGACCACAACACAACTTGTTCTTTATCTCATGACCACAACACAACTCTGTTGTTCTTTATCTCATGACCACAACACAACTCTGTTGTTCTTTATTTATCTCATGACCACAACACAACTCTGTTGTTCTTTATCTCATGTCCACAATACTACTCTGTTGTTCTTTATCTCATGACCACAATCACAACTCTGTTGTTCTTTATCTCATGACCACAACACAACTCTGTTGTTCTTTATCTCTATCTCAAGACCACAACACAACTCTGTCGTTCTTTATCTCATGACCACAGCACAACTCTGTTGTTCTCTATCTCATGACCACAACACAACTCTGTTGTTATTTATCTCATGACCACAACACAACTCTGTTGTTCTTTATCTCATGACCACAACACAACTCTGTTGTTCTTTATCTCATGACCTCTGTTGACCACAACACAACTCTGTTGTTCTTTATCTCATGACCACAACACAACTCTCATGACCACAACACAACTCTGTTGTTCTTTATCTCATGACCACAACACAACTCTGTTGTTCTTTATCTTGACCACAACACAATCTCTCAAGACCACAACACAATCTCATGACCACAATACAACTCTGTTCTTCTTTATCTCATGACCACAACACAACTCTGTTGTTCTTTATCTCATGACCGAAACACAACTCTGTTGTTCTTTATCTCATGACCACAACACAACTCTGTTGTTCTTTATCTCATGACCACAACACAACTCTGTTGTTCTTTATCTCATGAGGCAACACAACTCTGTTGTTAGTTATCTCATGACCACAGTACAACTCTGTTGTTCTTTATCTCATGACCACAACACAACTCTGTTGCTCTTTATCTCTATCTCATGATCACAACACAACTCTGTTGTTCTTCATCTCATCACCACAGCACAACTCTGTTGTTAGTTATCTCATGACCACAGCACAACTCTGTTGTTCTCTATCTCATGACCACAACACAACTCTGTTGTTCTTTATCTCATGTCCACAACACAACTCTGTTGTTCTTTATCTCTATGTCGTGATCACAACACATCTCTGTTGTTCTTTATCTCTATCTCATGACCACAACACAACTCTGTTCTTCTTTATCTCATGACCACAATACAACTCTGTTGTTCTTTATCTCATGACCACAATACAACTCTGTTGTTCTTTATCTCTATCTCATGACCACAACACAACTCTGTTGTTCTTTATCTCATGACCACAACACAACTCTGTTGTTCTTTATCTCTATCTCATGACCACAACACAATCTTTATCTCATGACCACAATACAACTCTGTTCTTCTTTATCTCATGACCACAACACAACTCTGTTCTTCTTTATCTCATGACCACAATACAACTCTGTTGTTCTTTATCTCATGACCGAAACACAACTCTGTTGTTCTTTATCTCTATGTCGTGATCACAACACATCTCTGTTGTTCTTTATCTCATGTCCACAATACAACTCTGTTCTTCTTTATCTCATGACCACACAATTCTGTTGTTCTCTATCTCATGACCACAACACAACTCTGTTGTTCTTTATCTCATGACCACAACACAACTCTGTTGTTCTTTATCTCTATCTCATCACTACAACACAACTCTGTTGTTCTTTATCTCTATCTCATGACCACAACACAATTCTGTTGTTCTTTATCTCATGACCACAACACAACTCTGTTGTTCTTTATCTCTATCTCATGACCACAACACAACTCTGTTCTTCTTTATCTCATGACCACAATACAACTCTGTTGTTCACAACACAACTCTGTTGTTCTTTATCTCATGACCACAATACAACTCTGTTCTTCTTTATCTCATGACCACAATACAACTCTGTTGTTCTTTATCTCATGACCACAACACACATCTCATGACCACAACACAACTCTGTTGTTCTTTTTATCTCATGACCACAACACAACTCTGTTGTTCTTTATCTCATGACCACAACACAACTCTGTTGTTCTTTATCTTATCTCATTATCTCATGACCACAACACAACTCTGTTGTTCTTTATCTCATGACCACAACACAACTCTGTTGTTCTTTATCTCATGACCACAACACAACTCTGTTTCTTTATCTCATGACCACAACACAACTCTGTTGTTCTTTATCTCATGACCACAATACAACTCTGTTGTTCTTTATCTCATGACCACAACACAACTCTGTTGTTCTTTATCTCATGTCCACAATACAAATCTGTTCTTCTTTATCTCATGTCCACAATACAACTCTGTTGTTCTTTATCTCATGACCACAACACAACTCTGTTGTTCTTTATCTTATCTCATGACCACAACACACACAACTCTGTTGTTCTTTATCTCATGACCACAACACAACTCTGTTGTTCTTTATCTCATGACCACAACACAACTCTGTTGTTCTTTATCTCTTTATCTCATGACCACAACACAACTCTGTTGTTCTTTATCTCATGACCACAACACAACTCTGTTGTTCTTTATTCATGACCACAACACAACTCTCTTTATCTCATGACCAACACAACTCTGTTGTTCTTTATCTCATGACCACAACACAACTCTGTTGTTCTTTATTTCTATCTCAAGACCACAACACAACTCTGTTGTTCTTTATCTTCTTTATCTCATGACCACAACACAACTCTGTTGTTCTTTATCTCATGACCACAACACAACTCTGTTGTTCTTTATCTCATGACCACAACACAACTCTGTTGTTCTTTATCTCATGACCACAACACAACTCTGTTGTTCTTTATCTCATGACCACAACACAACTCTGTTGTTCTTTATCTCTACACATGACCACAACACAACTCTGTTTTCATCATGACCACAACACAACTCTGTTGTTTATCTCATGACCACAACACAACTCTGTTCTTTCTTTATCTCATGACCACAACACAACTCTGTTGTTCTTTATTATCTCATGACCACAACACAACTCTGTTGTTCTTTATCTCATGACCACAACACAACTCTGTTGTTCTTTATCTCATGACCACAACACAACTCTGTTGTTCTTTATCTCATGACCACAACACAACTCTGTTGTTCTTTATCTCATGACCACAACACAACTCTGTTGTTCTTTATCTCATGACCACAACACAACTCTGTTGTTCTTTATCTCATGACCACAACACAACTCTGTTGTTCTTTATCTCTATCTCATGACCACAACACAACTCTGTTGTTCTTTATCTCATGACCACAACACAACTCTGTTGTTCTTTATCTCATGACCACAACACAACTCTGTTGTTCTTTATCTCATGACCACAACACAACTCTGTTGTTCTTTATCTCATGACCACAACACAACTCTGTTGTTCTTTATCTCATGACCACAACACAACTCTGTTGTTCTTTATCTCTATCTCATCACTACAACACAACTCTGTTGTTCTTTATCTCATGACCACAACACAACTCTGTTGTTCTTTATCTCTATCTCATGATCACAACACAACTCTGTTGTTCTTCATCTCATCACCACAGTACAACTCTGTTGTTAGTTATCTCATGACCACAGCACAACTCTGTTGTTCTCTATCTCATGACCACAACACAACTCTGTTGTTCTTTATCTCATGTCCACAACACAACTCTGTTGTTCTTTATCTCTATGTCGTGATCACAACACATCTCTGTTGTTCTTTATCTCTATCTCATGACCACAACACAACTCTGTTCTTCTTTATCTCATGACCACAATACAACTCTGTTGTTCTTTATCTCATGACCACAACACAACTCTGTTGTTCTTTATCTCATGACCACAACACAACTCTGTTGTTCTTTATCTCTATCTCATGACCACAACACAACTCTGTTCTTCTTTATCTCATGACCACAATACAACTCTGTTGTTCTTTATCTCATGACCGAAACACAACTCTGTTGTTCTTTATCTCTATCTCAAGACCACAACACAACATGACCACAACACAACTCTGTTGTTATTTATCTCTATCTCAAGACCACAACACAACTCTGTTGTTCTTTATCTCTATCTCAAGACCACAACACAACTCTGTTGTTCTTTATCTCATGACCACAACACAACTCTGTTGTTCTTTATCTCTATCTCATGACCACAACACAACTCTGTTGTTCTTTATCTCATGACCACAATACAACTCTGTTGTTCTTTATCTCATGACCACAACACAACTCTGTTGTTCTTTATCTCATGACCACAACACAACTCTGTTGTTCTTTATCTCATGACCAAAACACAACTCTGTTGTTCTTTATCTCTATCTCAAGACCACAACACAACTCTGTTGTTCTTTATCTCATGACCACAACACAACTCTGTTGTTCTTTATCTCATGACCACAACACAACTCTGTTGTTCTTTATCTCTATCTCAAGACCACAACACAACTCTGTTGTTCTTTATCTCATGACCACAATACAACTCTGTTCTTCTTTATCTCATGACCACAATACAACTCTGTTGTTCTTTATCTCATGACCACAACACAACTCTGTTGTTCTTTATCTCTATCTCAAGACCACAACACAACTCTGTTGTTCTTTATCTCATGACCACAACACAACTCTGTTGTTCTTTATCTCTATCTCATCACTACAACACAACTCTGTTGTTCTTTATCTCATGACCACAACACAACTCTGTTGTTCTTTATCTCTATCTCATGACCACAACACAATTCTGTTGTTCTTTATATCATGTCCACACACATCGATTTACATGAGCATACATGGCTGTGTCTGCAGTTCAGACATCTCTCATGATCTACTAATTTGGCTGCCAACATTATCATATTTACCGCATAATACAGAAGGGGAGACATTAGGCGAAAGAACGGCTTACCTACACATGCTTTCCCATCTTTCTAAAAAAATACTAGAACTTGAATGAATGAATTTCCCTACATATTCATTATATTGCATTTTTTTATTGGTAAACGACTCTAGGTTTATATATTTACTTTTAGCTTTCCAAACCAAAGGTGATTACTTCCATATGATACTTGTTTCATAAGCCGCTCTATTCCAAACATCGATATCATACTTAACTTTATCTTCCAGTGAAATCCCCAGAATATGTGTTATATCACGGACTTGGATATATATGACTAAGTCCACGGTTATATATATAGATATGAATATATATATTTGATCAAACGGTAGGATGTTTATTAAATAAAGTCCTAACTGCTTGTTTATAGTTTTGTTAATATATTTGTATTTAATTTTTGGAGAGAAAAACGTTCCGCGGCAGCGTACTCCCTCCCTTTAATCACTCAACTTTTCTCTCTCTACATGTAACCAAACAGGAAGTTTTTGTGTTGATAAAAATGAACGAAAGGCCTGCTTGTTTATGTATATGATCTACTATATAAGCTCTGTTTTGTGCTCGACTGTACATGACTTTTCACTCGATTGATATCCAATTGACAAACCGAGCTTTAAGCCAGGTATTCAAAACGCTTTTCTTCATATCAATTTTCAAGCGTCAGCCGCACCATTGAACCGGGTGTAAACATGGCCGTGCACGTTGAGAAGATGGGATATTACTCGGGGAATTATGCAATGTCTGGATGATTCTTTCATGGAACCTTAGATAAGATGAACTCTTTCTATTCTGTTGAGATATTGTCAATTTCTATGCTGGAAAACATTCCTCAATAGCCTACGAGAAGCTAGTAATATCCTGGCTAGCAGTGACAGTGTGGTTTGCATGGTTACGTGGTATACAGGAGATAGGCTACTGCACCGTTAAAACGATCAGATATACACTTGCTATGCATATGTATATATATGCGCAGCTCAGATAGTTTTTTTTTGCACTGTTGAATTATTTCAATAGACACGTAAAATAACGTAAAAATGACCATGGGACGCTTCGGAGAAAACGCCAACTTTCGTCCGTTGTCAAGTGGGCAAACACTCGTGAAACGCGACTCGTACCAGATACTTGACATTGAGATTGACAGAGGCATTGAAACATGTGGCACTAATCTATGTGATGCTCACGAGAAAGAGATACCCCTGTTCAAGTACAATGAAATACCAGACTTCCTGCAAGGCAATCCATATGTGGTCAAAGGTTACAGGGTGTTTCTACCATTTAGTTTGTGCTTGAAAAGGTAAAGTTCTTGCATTGTTTTGAAAACCTGTGTAGTAGTCATAAATAAGAATAAATAGTCAGCAGAATAAAATTTGCAAAACAAAAAATAGTAGATTTATCCATTTGAGTTTTTAGAGGAATGCTCTAATCTCTGAAAGAAGGGAGGGATTTTATTATTTTAGACTGATAAAAAGATGTCTGAAATCAACATTTTTATATATACTTAACATATGGTGAAATTCAACCTCAACATACCACTGTCAATTCTTGTATTTATTCGCAAAATAGTGTCGGTTGACGAGTTTTGCATCTTCTGCCACTATGTAGTGACTAAATACAAGAATCAGCTGTGGTGTGTTGAGGTTGTATTTCATCATATCTTACTCTCTACGAACAACTGCCCTGCATACCTACGGTATCTACATTGACAGATAGGGACCTCATAAGGAACCTCTTGGCACCCCGGTGTTAATTCCAAACTTTCCATTTTATTTATCTTATCAACTTGTTAATGAGTTGAATGACAAGTGTAATATTTTTCATGTGTTCCTCTGCGATCATTTTCGTATAGATATAGCTAGGGGAGCAGACTTAATCAGCTAAATGACAAATTTGATTAATGATATAAAATATCTTTTACTAAAATTGGAGATGTACCACAATTTGGTTTTATGTAAATACCAATACTTTTGAACAAATTGGTTAATTTGTTTAGAATAAGTAATGGTGCAAGTGTGGCTGGATTGACCGATCACCAATTTTGGAGTGAACAAGATTTATGCACTCTTTGTAACTAATGCAATAAGATTATATTAGGTCATAAACTGCAGTTATTCTTAATCTTTAAGGTTTGATGTAAGTTATCCTGTTATAGAGTTAAAACAATGTGCCAAACAAGATTCTTACATACATTTTAAATATGTCATCAAGTTGTTGTAGTTTTGTATTCATTTTGACTTCTTTCAGCTTGTTTGTCTGGAACAATGAGACAATCAACATCTGGTCTCACCTGTTGGGCTTTATTGCTTTCTTCTTTCTGATGTTTTATGACAACTTCATTGTGTTGCCGATATTTAAAACATCTTACACTGATCATGTTATAGTCACCCTGGGGCTCTTCTGTTATCAGGTATGTATGTTCATGAAAGTTACAAGTGAAACGTATTACATTTATATATATTACAAGGAGGTAAAAAGTCAAAATATTGTCAATTTTGTTTGATATGTGCATTATATATACAATTGTACATAAGTATCAATATTAAAAGTCAATGTCTAATTTTTTTGTAGTGCAGGCATTACTGACATGTGTTATAAAACATTTATAGGTTTTCCTTAACAGCTTTTGAATATTTTCAGAGAATTATTGCCTGCTGTATTTCAGCATTTTAATCCTTAACAGAGATTTTCTCCCTCTGTTTTTGATTATACCATTTTTAATACTTGGTAAGCATCATAAATATGATGCGAAATTATTTTTATCTGTGCTATTTACACTTTTTACTTTTACTTTTCGAAATTGTGCTTTTTCAGTGGCATTTTGATTTGACAAATATTGTTTCAATTTCAAATTTTTGTTCATCTCAATGTAATAAAATATACCATGTATATGACTTTGGCATGGGATGGACATATATATTGTTTCATGCCACAGTACTGATGTTATAATATTGATAGCCTTTTATTCTGTCAGGAATGGATTAAGAATGTGGAACAATTTGTCTTACTATTCACATAAACATAATGTGTCTTCTGATGTAATTTTGTTTACACTGTAGGTTCATTCTGTTATTCATTTAAACATAAACATTTTCAGGGATTAATTTCCTGATGATAGAAAACATAATTGTACTGGAAAAATCTGTTTGTTACATACAGAAAGCTATGGTAGAGAATGTAATAGTATCTGTATCAACGGGCCAAACATTTTGATCCTGGTAAATTGAGGTTTAGACATGTTTATTGTACTGTATCTGAAAACATATCTGCTAATGATGGTCAGAAAGCATTGATTTCTATAGAGTTCTTTTTATTTCCACCAGTTCTGTATGCTGTGTTCAACGGGTTTCCACATGTTCGCATGCCATTCTGAAAGAGCGAGTAAACGATGGCTAGCTATAGACCTGACTGGGATCTCTATAGGAGTGATAGGCTGTTATTTACCAGCTGTCCATTATGCTTTTTACTGTCTTTCTGTAAGTTTTTATGTTATGTACAATGCTGTATTAACAATTATGTATATTGTGGAACGTCTCTATGTTTTGTAACTTACAAGCTCAATGTGAAAGAGTTGTGTGGAAAGTCATACGTATACACATTGTGTTTTGATATAGTAGGAGGTAATATAAACATTTAAGTCTAGGTCAGCTTGACCTAGGTTAGAGTATTAAGTCCTAGTCTAGGTCAGCTTGACCTAGGTTAGAGTATTAAGTCCTAGTCTAGGTCAGCTTGACCTAGGTTAGAGTATTATGTCCTAGTCTAGGTCAGCTTGACCTAGGTTAGAGTATTAAGTCCTAGTCTAGGCCAGCTTGACCTAGGTTAGAGTATTAAGTCCTAGTCTAGGCCAGCTTGACCTAGGTTAGAGTATTAAGTCCTAGTCTAGGCCAGCTTGACCTAGGTTAGAGTATTAAGTCCTAGTCTAGGCCAGCTTGACCTAGGTTAGAGTATTATGTCCTAGTCTAGGTCAGCTTGACCTAGGTTAGAGTATTAAGTCCTAGTCTAGGCCAGCTTGACCTAGGTTAGAGTATTAAGTCCTAGTCTAGGTCAGCTTGACCTAGGTTAGAGTATTAAGTCCTAGTCTAGGCCAGCTTGACCTAGGTTAGAGTATTAAGTCCTAGTCTAGGCCAGCTTGGCAGAGGTTAGTATACTCATAAAACACCTAGTTAAGGTCAGCTCACCCTAGGTAAGTATATAAACTCCTAGTCTAGGCTCATTGGGTTTAGTTAGTATGTAAAATCTTAGTCTAAGCCAGCTTGACCTAGGTTAGTATATAGAATACTAGTCGAAGCTCACTGGGTCTAGATTAGTGTATAAAGTTAAAGTCGAGGCCCACAGGGTATTAAGGTTAGTATATAAAGCCTCAGTATAGGCCTACTGGGTCTAGGCTAGTAAATGAAGTCCTAGTCTAGGCCCACTGGGTCTAGGCTAGTAAATGAAGCCCTAGTCTAGGCCCACTGGGTCTAGGCTAGTATATAAAACAATAGAAATGAATATTAACTTTACCATTACCGGTTTGAAATTCCTAACCACTTCTGATCCACTTCATTTACATAATGTTCACAGAATATTTCAACAGATTTTTAATTGTATAGGCTTAACATTTTTGTGCATTTTTATAGTTAGTTAAAGATAACTTATGACAAGATAGTAATTGACTTGGCAAATAATTGAAATATTTCAATTAAATGATGTCTGTTTCAGATTTGGCGTGATATCTACTTATTTATCATCACCTGTTTATCAATATCAACCTTTTTGATGATGCAAAACCCCAGATACTTTTCACATGAGTGGAGTAATAAACGTATATTGGTATATGTGGGACTCGGAGCCTATGGAGTCATCCCTACTGTACACTGGATATATCTAAATGGAGGCATATCAGCTGATATAGTACAGGTAAAGTAATTACCAGCTGATATAGTACAGGGTAAAGTAATTACCAGCTGATAAAGTACAGGTAAAGTAATTACCAGCTGATATAGTACAGGTAAAGTAATTACCAGCTGATGTAGTACAGGTAAAGTAATAACCTGATATAGTACAGGTTAAAGTAATTACCAGCTGATGTAGTACAGGGTAAAGCAATTACCAGCTGATATAGTACAGGTAAAGTAATTACCAGCTGATATAGTACAGGTAAAGTAATTACCAGCTGATATAGTACAGGTAAAGTAATTACCAGCTGATATAGTACAGGTAAAGTAATTACCAGCTGATATAGTACAGGTAAAGTAATTACCAGCTGATATAGTACAGGTAAAGTAATTACCAGCTGATATAGTACAGGGTAAAGCAATTACCAGCTGATGTAGTACAGGTTGATTTCACTTGATTTCTGATTGAGAAAGATATCAAAAGTATTTTATAATCAGATACAATAAAATTGTCTGATATATGGATCAGTTCAGATTTTATAGATACATATGTTCCTTTATACGTGAATCTTTCAATTGTTTCTGCCTTTAAAGCACCAAATAGATATGTCATTATAAGTTTTTTATTTTTTTTCTTTGAATTTTACTTTCAGTTATTTGTGCCAAAGGTATTTGTAATGTACAGTCTTGGTGTGTTGGCTTTAGGATTTTACCTCACCAAATTCCCAGAGCGCTTTGTTCCAGGTAAGTATCTCAAGAGTGTGAAAATATATATAATTCAACTGATAAAAAACTTTGTGTATCACGAGAATAGAGGCTTGAAAGCCATTGCAAAACTAGTATTTTTGTTTTGTTGATATTTCAAGTTAACATTAGAGCTGAAACGAATGTTTGAACATTTACGAATGAATACTTATTTCTCAAACATTCAAGTTGTGAAATGAGATTTGTTACAGTTTACCTCCAGTTATTGTAAATGTGGATGAACATTAATGCAGGTTCTGGGAACATTTCCTGTTGAATTCAGAAAGATCTAAATCTAGATGTAAGCTATGCTTGGCAGTTTTATCATAAAAACATAGTCATTGTACTGTCATGCATTGCAAATTCAAAGTTTGGAAAATTGACTGATATTAGATTAGTACATATTTTAGAAACCATCTTCCGTAGGAATATCAGAATTTTTTCCAAATTTGGTTTGAAGCATCCTCGGTAAATGGGATCCTTTTTTGTGCAAATGGTAGGTCTCTGACATCTGGGGGCAGAGGGGCGAGGCCCAATAGGGGATATCAAGGAATCACTATAAAATCATTCTAATGTTAGAATGAAGGTATTTTATGTAGATTTGGTCTGAGGCAATCAAGGGTAAAGGACACACTAAATTCACTAAAAGGAGTGAGTCTAATACATCAAGCTAGCCTTTTTATCCTATTTCAATAGCAAGCATTGTTCACATATATTGGCTCCTGAATTACCTGGATTACCTTGGAAAGGCCTCTTCTATATATTCGTATCCACTATGGGTTTAATTTGTAGATGTACAAACAGGCTTTTAAATCTTATCAACAGTTTGCTGGAGATAAAATTAATTTAGTGTGAAACTAAATTTTTCAATTTATTTGTAATATTACCATTAAGTTTCATTGAGTAACTTAGATCCAATGATTTCAGGAAGTATTTTAAATGAAGACTTATGATTAATGAGGAGATAGTTATATGAGATGTTATTTTCCCATTGTAGGCCTGTTTGACTTTGTGGGATCCAGTCATCAATGGTGGCATGTTATAGTTGTTGCAGCCTTTACGTTCTGGCACTATGCTGGACAAGACATATTGTTGTATCGTCTCAACCACCCATGTCATTAGAGACCAGACATATTGTTGTATTGTCTCAACCACCCATGTCATTAGAGACCAGACATATTGTTGTATCGTCTCAACCACCCATGTCATTAGAGACCAGACATATTGTTGTACCATGTTAAGTATTAAAGGAGAGTTGAGTGTACAAACAACAAACAGTAGGGCAGTTGGACATGTTTTAGTGTCAACAAACAGTAGGGTGGGTGAACAGAAATGAACAGAAGGACAGGATGTGATAGAGTCCAGGTATTGACAAGTTTTTTTATAAATTATTTTTAAGAATGTAGTATTCCTTCTTATGTATAGTGTCATGTTTTTCATAATGTGCATACTTAATGTACTTAATTTGACTGTAAATGTAAATACATGTAATTTGTTAATGAAATTTTGTGATTACTTTCAAAGTATTTTTCCATGGTGCCAATGTTTTGTAATACTTACGAAGTTGAGCCAGTGCTAGTATAGACTGGTGTATGGCATGTAATAAGGAAATAAAAAGGAATGGTAGATACCATCTAGATAAAGTGTGTGGCATCACCATCTAGATAAAGTGTGTGGCATCACCATCTAGATAAAGTGTGTGGCATCACCATCTAGATAAAGTGTGTGGCAATACCTGAGATCTGTATGTGTGGCATTACCAGCTAGATAAAGTGTGTGGCATCACCAACTAGATAAAGTCTGTGGCATTACCTGAGATCTGTCTGTGTGTCATCACCAACTAGATAAAGTGTGTGGCATCACCAACTAGATAAAGTCTGTGGCATTACCTTAGATCTGTATGTGTGTCATCACCAACTAGATAAAGTGTGTGGCATTACCTGATATCTGTATGTGTGTCAATACCAACTAGATAATGTGTGTGGCATCACCAACTAGATAAAGTGTGTGGCTTTACCTGAAATCTGTATGGATGTCATCACCAACTAGATAAAGTGTGTGGCATCACCAACTAGATAAAGTGTGTGGCTTTACCTGAAATCTGTATGGGTGTCATCACCAACTAGATAAAGTGTGTGGCATCACCAACTAGATCAAGTGTGTGGCATTACCTACAGTAGTTTTTTTATGGATTTTGTGTCTTGTAGTGCATAATATATATACTTATATATCTCCATCATAATATATATACTTATACAGCTCCATCATAATATATATACTTAAACAACTCTTTTATATAAAATACTATCATAAATATTAAAACACCTCCATCATATGATATACCATTGTTGGAGTGGAATTAAATGTTCTAAAACCTACCGATTTTAGATACGACACACATCTGTTGCTGCCCATATCCCCAGCAATGTATTGAATGCTAAGGTCAAGGTCACCATTTAAGCAACGTTTACTCCTAATTGTTTGTTACACTCACAACCCCCTCTGTCAGAATATAAATGCCAAGACTAAAAGACTTGAAAATTGATTTTTGTTTATGTTATAACATTTTAGCATTTGTTTACATATTGAATTGATTAAACATTTCAAATGTGATGTTAAAACAAGGATTACAGAGGATACATGAATGAACTCTACACTTCCCCAATAGTGTTTGTTATCTACCACACTAGTCAAGGTCTCGGAGGTCAGCCAAACAACACTTCATTGTTACAGATACCCGAATGGAGTGTCATGTACTGTTAGTTTCATTGCCATGGGTCAAAGGTCAACTCTGATTGAGTACCTTTTCATTCATTTTGTGGTCATTGAAGGAAAAAAAACATTTTAAGTTTGTCTTTAGTTAAGTGAATGTGAGATAAAACAGAAAGTTGTGTAAGGATGATGGTCTTCATTACTATTTAAGTGAATCAGGTAAGGAGACATGTGATATAGTAGTTAGCTAGTGTGTTCTATTTATTTCATTTTACTACCCAGTATTCAAGTGAATCAGGAGAGTTATGTGATACAATAATAAACTAGTTTGTTCTTATGTTTTGATAAAGGAACGTAGCATTAGAATGATTTCAGTACAAGGCTTTCTTTTATCATGGGTGATAAATGTTTTCATTTTTGTCATAAAAAGAGACTTCATGGTGAATGATAAGTATGTCAGAGTTTGTCCAGTTAGTTGGCATATCAATCAGTGAAGGTAGTCTACAATGATAATACATTCCTGTACATTGCCAAGATTTTCAGACAACACTTTAACTGTTTTAAAAACTTTATGCTTGTATGAGAAATAGTACTTTTAATTAACTTCTCAAATACCTTTCATTTATATGAGCAATTTTTTTTAGTCTTTTAATTTTAAAGAATTTTTGTTATAACTGATATTCAAACAAAAAATTAACCAATGCTGGTGACAAATGTTAGCTTACGTATTGAAGAATGGGTTTATGTAGTCATATCATTAAGGCTTTTTGTAGCCATATCATACTTAATTGTCCCATTTTGGACATCAAATTATTGTATCATATACTGACCTCCAGGTCGGTGTTTTTACGTAAAATGTTCATAATTTCATCAATTCATAAACGAAGAAAGTTTTTATACAGAACGCTGATATTAGGCATGGATGTTTCTGATGGGTCCAACATTGTCATTTTCTACAATTTTGTTTTTGTTTTTACTTTTTTGCAAAGTTTTTGTATTAGTGTTGAAATATCTCTCATATACTGCCTCAATGTGATATTCAGCCAGATGCATACTAAGAGATAAAAGGTATACCAGGGTGATCCTGACATTATTACAAGCTTTCAACTGTTAATAAGTGGTAGTCAGAAGGCACATCAGTAAGATACTCGCCTTTCACCTCAGTGACTTAGATCTGATTCCACAAAAGATATGGCATCACCTGCCTGACTTTGTGGGTTTTCCTCAGTTTACTTTGGCTTCCTATCACAGTAAAGACAACTCCCAGGCTTCAAGCCTGACCAACAAGTGTGATTGATATTAACTGACAGCTGGTTTTGCAATTGTTGTAAAATCAAGTTTATGTAACGTTGAAAAATTTTGTACACCTGGTATACAAAAGCTGGTAACCTTAAACATTCTGTATCGTTTTACAATATTGTCATTTTCATTTTTGTTATAAAAAATCTGCAATAAAAAAAATGTTGAAAATTTGCAAATGTTTTGGTACTTATTGGAAAGATGAAGTGGTCATAATGGATTTTATACATAAGATTTGTTATTGCTAGGTCTTGAGAAGTACTGGGTGGATCTTTCTCAAATCTGATAGATTCCACTAACTATGTGACCAATAACAAGAATAACAAAATTGCTTACAGGTGTCATTTTCAAATTTGGTATATGGTGTGTTTCCCTTGGTCCCTAGTTTATAATTCTGATTTCTGGAGAGATGGGAAAGAAAAGGAATGAAAGGAAATTATCCTATTGATAAAGAATCAATATAGGTCATACATGGGTGGGTGGCAAGAACTAGAAAGAATTGTTTTAGAACAAATAACATATTTATAGAATTAGAATTGCTTTAGGGCATACCACAGATTTATAGAGCTAGAAGTAATTGTTAAATGGCAGAACACAGATTTATAGAGCTAGAAGTAATTGTCATACGACAGACCACAGATTTATAGAGCTAGAAGTAATTGTTAAATGGCAGAACACAGATTTATAGAACTAGAAGTAATTGTTTAATGGCAGAACACAGATTTATAGAACTAGAATTGTTTTAGGGCATACCACAGATTTATAGAGCTAGAAGTAATTGTTAAATGGCAGAACACAGATTTATAGAACTAGAATTGTTTTAGGGCAGATCACAGATTTATAGAGCTAGAAAGAATTGTTAAATGGCAAAACACAGATTTATAGAACTAGAATTGTTTTAGGGCAGAACACAGATTTATAGAGTTAGAAGTAATTGTTCAATGGCAGAACACAGATTTATAGAACTAGAATTGTTTTAGGGCAGATCACAGATTTATAGAGCTAGAAAGAATTGTTAAATGGCAAAACACAGATTTATAGAACTAGAATTGTTTTAGGGCAGAACACAGATTTATAGAGTTAGAAGTAATTGTTCAATGGCAGAACACAGATTTATAGAACTAGAATTGTTTTAGGGCAGAACACAGATTTATAGAGCTAGAAAGAATTGTTACAGGGCAGAACACAGATTTATAGAGCTAGAAAGAATTGTTACAGGGCAGAACACAGATTTATAGAGCTAGAAGTAATTGTTCAATGGCATTGAACCACAGATTTTAGAGCTATAGAACTAGAATTGTAGATTGTTAAATGGCAAAACACAGATTTATAGAGTTTTAGACAGTAATTGTTCAATGGCAGAACACAGATTTATAGAACTAGAATTGTTTTAGGGCAGATCACAGATTTATAGAGCTAGAAAGAATTGTTAATGGCGGAACACAGATTTATAGAACTAGAATTGTTTTAGGGCAGATCACAGATTTATAGAGCTAGAAAGAATTGTTAAATGGCAGAACACAGATTTATAGAACTAGAATTGTTTTAGGGCAGAACACAGATTTATAGAGCTAGAAAGAATTGTTAGAACACAGGCAGTTTTAACACAGATTTATAGAGCTAGAAAAAATTGTTATATGGCAGGTCACATATTTATAGAGCTAGAAGTAATTGTTAAATGGCAAACCATAGATTTATAGAGCTAGAAGTAATTGTTAAATGGCAGAACACAGATTTATAGAACTAGGGCAGAACACAGATTTATAGAGCTAGAAAGAATTGTTAAATGGCAGAACACAGATTTATAGAGCTAGAAGTAATTGATAAATGGCAGAACACAGATTTATAGAGCTAGAAAGAATTGTTAAATGGCAGAACACACAATTGTTTAGGGCAGAACACAGAAGTAATTGTTATAGGCAGCAATTGTTTTATGGCAGAACACAGATTTATAGAGCTAGAATTGTTTTAGGGCAGACCACAGATTTATAGAGCTAGAAAGAATTGTTAAATGGCAGACCACAGATTTATAGAACTAGAATTGTTTTAGGGCAGAACACAGATTTATAGAGCTAGAAGTAATTGTTAAATGGCAGAACACAGATTTATAGAACTAGAATTGTTTTAGGGCAGAACACAGATTTATAGAGCTAGAAAAAATTGTTATATGGCAGGTCACATATTTATAGAGCTAGAAGTAATTGTTAAATGGCAGAACACAGATTTATAGAACTAGAATTGTTTTAGGGCAGATCACAGATTTATAGAGCTAGAAAGAATTGTTAAATGGCAGAACACAGATTTATAGAACTAGAATTGTTTTAGGGCAGAACACAGATTTATAGAGCTAGAAAGAATT